CATCTGTCTGGCTTACCACATTTGTCATTAATGAATTGCCACGAAAATTAAGATTCCTTCCTGAAAATGTTGTAATTGGAATGCTAACAATAGGTGGCATGAAGCCCAAAAAAAATGAGATGTCCGAAATTATGTCAAATATGGTTAATGAATTGGTTCGTCTTCAAGAAGGAATGGCTGTGTGTTTTCATCATGACAATGAAAATAATTCAGAAAAAATTACGAAAATATTCTTACTGGCTTGTACTTGTGATAAACCTGCTACTTCACTTTTATTAAATCATAAAGAATCCACCGGCTTCTATGGTTGCATATATTGTACAATAAAAGGTGATCTTAAACAAACAAACATAAAACACAAAATTTACTTACTAGATTTTAAAAAAGAATTTTTCTGAAATATTTAATGGGTAAAAAATATAGAATGAACGATCTTTCACATATCTTCCCTGTAGTCATTCCAATTTTGTTTTTATTCTGTCTGATAGCTTTATATTTGATTCTATTTAACTTTTGTTAATTATAGGTAGATCAGTTGAAGCAGGTGGAACCACCATTCGCTCGTTTGCTTTCAATTCAAAAGAAAAAATCATTTTAAGATCGAATGAAACATACGATAAAGCAATCACATTTTTTGGAAATGTTAGTTTCATTTTGTGTTTCAAACATTTTAAAAAAATTTGTTTAGAATAATAAACTGCCAAACTCTGACAAAGTTCTTTCAAAAGAAGCAAGTACGGCGTATCTACAAGGTCTTAAAGGATCATGTACACTTCGACAATTATCACATTTCGATGTTTATAAATCTTTCTTATGCGACACTCTTCATAACTTGTATCTTGGTGCAACAGTAAAGCATTTTGTATTATTTTTCAACTTTTTACTATATTCTATTTAGGCTAAGATGCTAAAATTACTTCTTTCGAAACCATCATCAAAAACTGGTATTACTGATGTAATGAGTGTTCATAATCGAATTGACATTGTTGCTAAAACTTTCAATACAATGTCATATCCATCTACAACTTATCGTCGTCCAAGAGATATTCGACTTTTTAAAAAATTTAAAGGGAATGAGCTTAGAATATTTCTTCTTTTTGGTTATTCGTGAGTATCCTACTTTATAAATATGTCTTATTCTGCGTTGTCATATAGGATATTTGAAAATATACTTGAAACAGAACGTTATCATCATTTAAAAACCTTGGCTTTTCTTGCTCATTTAGTGGAAAGCCAATATTTATCCATCTCTCGACTTCAAGACATTGAAACATTAGCCAATTATTTTGACAAAAATTTTGTTTCTCTTTATAGTGTAAAACAAGATAGCTTTTTTTTATTACAATTATTCTTTGTAATTAAGGAACGACACACAGTATCAGTAATCCATTCTATACGTCATTTCTATACATGTGTATGTAATTACGGACCCATGTTCAACTATTCTACATTCTCATTTGAACCATCGATGGGTTTGTTGCTAATCCTTTCTTTAAATGATATATCTGTATATATATATATATGTAAACAGCATCATTTCTTCGGACAGTTCATGGTAAATCAACAACAGCAGCAGAGTTGATAAAGAACATAGATCTTTATCGACAAGCATCAATTTTTGCGTCTTCCTCAACATTTTCGGTGACGGGCAAAGAGTATATTAGTCGCATTTCATCATCGCCTCGTCAGATTACGTTTATCGATGTTAATATTACACCTAAGGTAAAGTTTTATAAAAAAATTTCATCATCTTCATCTAATCTCATTTCCTTATGGCCACATCCGATTTGTTCCAACATCACGTTATACAAAACTTTATTTCTTAATAATCTGCGGTTTAGTGCTGATGATTTTAATATGCTTCAACCTACAAATGATGCCTGTGTTCTTTACAAGTCAAGAACAAATCAGTACAAAATTGGGTTCATTTTATGTATTGGTCATCTGATAGACAAAAACGAAATTTATTTTCTTTTAAACCAGGTAAACAGTACTTCTGCTGCAGACACGCTCAATCTTCAAGGAAAAATGTTTAAATGTAACAATATAATGCAAGGTACCGTTCTGCCTGATTCAACTGTTATTATCGATCCATCTGATGTCATTCAGAAATTGGCATTTCGACCAAATTATAATCCAACACAATCAAGATCGAATACATTTATTTTTTTCCAATATCCAAATGTTAAGGAATCCACATAAGAGACTTTATTCTAGAAAATAAACATTTTGTAATCAGCTAATTAATTTTTAGTGCATAATTGGAAGATATTTCAAACAATTTCTAAACTTTACAAGTTCTCAGAGTTTAATTCATTCCAGACTCTATACATGTATATCCAATTATTGTAGATGATAAGAATATTATTTTCTTGAAGCATTTTGAATGAAGTTGAGCGAAAAAGTTTCAATATAAATAGTCAGTATACTGAAAAAGTAAATTTATGCATTATAAATGGTAGAAATAATTCATTTGCCAACTAAAATGCATTTTAATGTCTATTTTTCCATTATTTAATTGATTCAAATGCACTTTAATGGTCAAAATGGTGTGGCGACAAAAAATAATGCATTTTAATGACCATTTTCTCATTATTCTTTTGACTGGGCAGTTGATAGGATTACATAAATTGTACGGTTACAACAAGAAAATTATTTCTATCATAGAAAGTTAATGGCGAAAATCGTCAACAACCGACAACCAACGTATATGATCGGCAATCAATGGTAATAATTGTCATTAAAAACAACATTGTCCTTTTTACTCCTATTCAACATGTGCTTCGCTTGCATGAATGTTTTTCTTTCTTTCTTTTTCTATACATTTCAAACATACACTGAAGTAATATATCCTTACTGATCACGTCATGCTTGATAGATCTCGAATCACACTGTATTTTGGTGTGTGCACTATCATTATTTCGTAGTTTTAGTTAGTATTATTTGATGAAACATATTTATATTCAACGATGTTCTATTAAAGTCAATATTTTGCATTCGATGCTACAGATAGCTCTCTCAATAAATAATGGTGCTTCTCCATTACTTTTCATCCTGTCCCCAATGTTGGTGTACCATCTCTTTTTCAAAAGAAAAATCGGCGGCGATTTCTAATAATGACTGTGAGGAGTGTGTCGGATAAATGAAGTTTGTGCTTTTTTTACCGAATCTCACTACTTGGTATTGAGATTTTGTTCGCTGAGTTCAACAGAATCATTTTGAAAGATCCAACTATTTTTTCACTTCTAGATGACTGCATTCAATAATAGCACGACAGTTTCTCACGATGGAACAACGCATGCAATTGGTACAGTGATTTTATTTTTATCATTTGCGATCTTGGCCGCATGTATCTGCAAATTGATACTGTCTCAAATATTGAAAAATAAATTTCCTGCTCCATTCACAGTGATCGTACTCATTTTGGGTTTCATAATCGGTATTATTATTGCCCATATTAAAGTGACGGACAACAATTTTTTACTTGGTGAAAAACAATTGAGAGAAATCAATCCTCATTTGATTTATTATATTTTTTTACCATTGTTGATTTTTGATTCGGCTTTTAACAGTCAGTTTTATGTTATTCAGCCACAAATCCTATCGGCTATACTTCTAGCTGGTCCCGGTGTATTTATCTCTATTGGTACTGTTGCAGTGGTTGCCGTCTATATATTTCCTTACAAATGGTCTTGGCTAGGTGCTCTCATGTTTGGAAGTATTTTGAGCGCAACAGATCCCGTTGCTGTTGTGGCATTATTACACGATTCTGGGGCGAGTAAATCATTAGCAGCATTGATTGAACTCGAATCGTTATTGAATGATGGTTCCACCTTTGTTATCTTCATGATCTTTCGCGATATTATCATCGGTCGAAGTGATAGTGTCAAAAAAATTGTTCTTGATATTGTCAAGTTCACTATCGGTAAACGAGAGTTAGATCATAATTGTTCTTTGTAATGACAGCATTAGAAATTTGTCTATTCTAGGGGGTCCAGCTTTTGGCTTTGCCTGCGGCATACTTGCCGTTATCGTTTTGAATCTTGTCAATAATGAACTCGAAGTCGAAATTATATCGACTTTTGGTCTTTCCTATCTGATTTTCTACGTTGCTGACGTTGAACTTGGTGTTTCAGCTGTGCTAGCACTGGTAGTAATGGGACTTTTCATGGCCAAGCACAAATATTGTATCAGTAGTCATGTGCAACTTCCAATGGTCAACACTTGGCGTATCGTTATCGATTTTGCAAATATTCTTATTTTTATGATTACTGGAATTATTCTAGCTCAAACACTGGTCGGTACGAAAGTAACTATTGTTGCACTTGATTTTGCATTTTCTATTATATTGTATATTGCACTTCATGTTGGACGTCTATTATCCGTAATTATTCTCTATCCATTTATAAATTGGAGTGGTGTACGTCTATCTTGGAAAGAATACACAATTCTGACTTGGAGTGGTTTAAGAGGAAGTATGTCCGTTATATTAGCTTTGATTGTGGCTTCCGAACCTCAAATCAATAGCACAACGAGAAATCATCTTCTTTTTCACGTATGTATGATTGCCATGCTCACACTGATTATCAACGGTACAAGTAGCAAGTTTTTAGTGAGACTCCTCGATTTGGACCACGGTATGTATTTGCATTCGTTTAAATAAAGATACATTGCTAGAGATTTGGTCAGTTTCATGAGTTATTCGCTTCTTCAGTTCATTTTTTTTTCGGATTATTCGTTACTATCCAACCAGTAGCAAGTGAGTCGCTTATTCAACAATTACTGTTGATAAGAGGATTGAAATCAGAATGGAAAAAATCAATCATTGTCTGATCGCTGAAATTTTATCACGCGTGTAGAATCAAAGATCATCTTCAGCAGCTTGATTTGACTTGATCTCACCTGAGTAGTATAAATCTATGTCTAGTGCAAAGTCGCGTCGGAATATTCAAGTTCTTTTTCAGCTCTAGGTAAAATATTCTTATGAGACTTGAATGTTGTTTAACATATACGTCATTTTATCGTTCAGCACTTTTCCATGAGAAAAGAGTGATTATGAAATGAGATAATCTAAAAAAATACTGGCAAAAAAAATCAAATTCAACTGACATGATTCTAAAAGAATATTTCACTTGAAATAGATAGAGTTCTTTTAGTTTCATCGCTTCAGTCCATTTGAATTTCGTTAGAAAACCTATATCGGTTTGAAAACTTGTTGTAATCGGTCCAAATTTCCTAATCGATTCATCTTAATTAAACCAAAATTAAAGTGTATTAATTATTAACAAGATAAATTGATATACTTGTCCTGTGTCTTCTTTTCGTAGCACTTTATGTCTTCAGGAATAGAATATATGAATCACAAAAATTTCTTAGGTAAATAGTTTCTCGCAACTAACTGATCTATTTCCATAAAAATGAAAGAAATAAAAAGTGATACATTGAAATTCTTTAGTTTTATTTCGCTAGTTGCGAAGCCTATTTGTACTCTGAAAGATCTAAGAGTTGTACATGATTTGATTCGATTTAACAAAAATCTATCATGTTGATAAGGACTCTCGATGGTATGAATGAACATGTTTCTTTTCTAGGTACACCGGAAAGTGAAACTGTTTTGTTACAAGCTCTCGACCACGTGCGAAAAAAAACGGCGGATCGGCTGCATCAGATGCAAGAGGAGAAACAATTTTCCGACGTAGATTGGAATATTCTCATTGAATATTTACCAGAAAAATTAGTTGAAGAAATGGATTCACAACGAAGATCCAATATTTATCGGCAACTTACTATTACACCGGATTCACCTAGCAGTCCATCATCATATTTTTCTCCAAAAACTACGATAACAGATGTTGAATTAAAAGAAATTTTGACCATATATGAAAATAATTATGTTCCCATTAATATTGTGCCGAGTCAACAGAATACATCACACCAAGATGTCGTACTGCCAATGATCGAAAATCTATCACATGATAGCACACAAAATGAAAATTTCCGAAACGAGTTAACTATTCGTTTTCTTACAGCATTGTCAGTTGATTACGAGAAGCAATGGTATCTTGGCATGATTCGTCGACGAACACTCTACATATTAATCAAATCAGTCGA